TTAACCCCCCCCCCTTTTTTTGGGGGGGGGGGTTTTTCCCCCCCCTTTTTTTTGAGGGGGGTTTTTTTTTGGATCCCCCCGGGGGGGTTTTTTTTTGGGGCCCCTTTCCCCCAGGTTTTTTTTTTCCCCCCCTCTTTAGACACGGGGGTTCCCCGGGGGGGGGGGGGGGTTTTTTTGGGGGGGGGGGTCGGGGGGTTTTTTTTCCCCCCGGCAGAAAAGGGCCCCCCTTTTTTTTTGGGTTTTTTTTTAGGTTTTTTTTTTTCGGAATTTTGGGGGGTTTTGGGGGGGGGGGGGGGGCCTTTTTTCCCCCCCCCCCCCCCCCCCCCGGAGGGCCCCAAAAAAAAGTTTTGGGGATTAGGTGTCGGAAAAATGTTTTTTTGTGCGCCCTTGGACCTGCAAGAAAGTTTCTGATTGTCTTCTGTAATGTCAACGATGCCGTAGCATTGGCGCATCATTACAGGTGATGGTCTTTTCGAGCTTCGTGCCCTTGGTATGCTGTGCACAGTCTTCACCCACCACCCGTCCTTCCTTTCCGTAAGATGCTGTGAGCTAAAGGCGAGGGCACCTGGCGCCCGAGCCTGGAGACTTGTGTATATAACATGATCTCGGTTCTATCTTTTTCGTCTATAGACTTTTTTCTTTGGTTGCCACCTACCACATATCGACGAATATGGTCGTCTTCCTTCTTCAAATACTTCACTTTCTCCCATACCCTCACCGCCATCCGTCTCGTTATGTACGCCCTCCTGATTGGGGGGCGGGGGGCCAATCCATAACCCTAGTTGGACGAAGTGGGCAAAACTTCATGTTCGTTCGAGCGATTACGTTAGAAAATGTCCTTTTCTTTTGGGCACCATATCCGTTTCTTTTCATTACCGTTACTAACAGCTCGTTCGCGCTTGTTTTTGTATTTCCCAGGGGGAGCAGACGGTCTGGAGCCCGCTAGTTGGTCTGCTGGAGTGATGCCGCCGTACGTGAAGACGCTCTTGCATATCGTCCGTTTGACCTCCATTTGTTCCTTGCTCGTAGTTGGAAGTGATACGGTGAGGCTCTGGATTGGGCTACACACCTTCCTGTGTGGACGACGAAGCGAAAAGCCAATCGCCCTCGCTGTTGCTACTCCGTGCATGCCATGCTGTGAAAGTGGAATATAGCCGAACCTGGCAATGTCGAAACCAAAATGAGACGAACAATACCAAGCGCGATTACCGTACAGCTGCAATGTTCAGAAATTTCCCTCAACGCCCTCAACTGTGAATGTGTCACATCGCCCACCGTACATACGTGCAGATGCAAGAGGGTTCGCTCAATAAGGCATGTTCCCGCGCAGTTCGGTCGTGCGTTTCTACCTTTTGTCAACCTGCGCGTGGCTGCATTAGCCGCACCCAGACAGACCCGTGCTGCTATCTACGGGCAGAGCCTTGGCCGTGAGGGCTGTTAGAAGAGCGATCGAGAGTAACCGGGAATTGATGAGGTAGCGCACACATCATGCGGCCAACGCGGTCTTGCAACGTACAAGGGGTGGTGGCAAGGACACAACCTACCTTCGTGTCCTTGTTGTGCTGCTATTGACGATTCTCTGTTTCGTGTGTAGCTATACGCGAGGAGTGAAGCCGACCAGCCCCCGGAATACTGCACCGTCTTCCACCACATGGTGAAAAGCGCGGGGTCGACCGTCAAATCTACCCTTCGCAGCGCCTCACGAAGAGAAGGTGTCCCGTTACCAGGTGCGCCTATGTTGTATTACGCTTGCATTTATATCGCTCGGAGGATTTTACCCGCTGCATATGTGTACGAAATAAATGTCAATCCTGATCTTGGTACTTTGCCTGCAAGGTTCGGAGCATGTTCGTCGAAATTTTGTCGGATTCAAGTACCCGTTTGTCCCGTCTACACCCACGCGGACAAGATTAATAGGTTACATGTACGAGGCATGGAGGCGCCGGGTTAGAACAGCCCGGACACCAGCGATGGAGTCGAAAACAGGAATAGTATATGATGATCACACAGCGCGAGCTATGCATAATGGCGTGAAATAGTGAATCGAATTATCAGTATTTGGACCGATCGACACTGGTGCTCCAACGGAGGGCGCATCAATTGCACATAGTGACGCTCAGAAACTACTTCGGGTGTCAATGATGGAATGACGAGGAAACATGCAGACGGAAAAGTAGTCGACAGTAGCGTCCGACCTATTCATTCGATGAGGTCAAGAGGCGGTTTGCGTGTCGGTTTTTCAGAGTTCAAGCAACAACAAATTTCATTTACTCCGTTCCGCCTGCTTGGTTCTGCGGCGCAGGGTTGTGTGTAGATGGGCCTGACAGCATTTCTACTTGCGAGGAGGCGTTCAACTCTTCTGCGGTCATATTGGGATACGCGGAACTTATGAGGTACAGTCGACCCCGCAGTAATGACACCCTTGGTATTCTATATAGTGTCCTAAATGCGTCACAATCCTGTTCGTCAACGGAGGCGTAGCATACGGCACTAGATGCGTGATTGAGGCAAGGTTTCTAGGTTTCTAGCTCCAGACGAATACATCATAACCCTGACGATCACAACGTGGTGTGGTGGTTGAAAGCTGCCCGTCCTTTAACCACGTCGTTCGCTGTTGAACCTATGGTATATATTTAACACTCCACCCCTTACACAATACTTCGAACAGTGGGGATAGGGCTCTGCAGGACGAGGTACAGTAATACTTTACAACAGCAGGGCACAATAATAGTTGTTGTTCTGGCGTTATCATCTAGTGTTTTGGCGTAACCGAGATGCATATCGTCACCGTCCAAAAATATTGCGAAACGTTGCAGTTCCGATACCATACACCTTCTCTGCTAAATACTACTGCTTGCCAAACAGAGAAGGAGCAAACATATAGGAACGAAGCTACATCTGACGGAAAGATGGATAACGCTAGAACAAAACTCCAAGAGAAATATACGACCCAAAAATGGACCCAATCGCTTCTGCCAAAGATCGAAACCAGGCAGAATACCACAAAATAGATCGTAATCCAAGCCAAAGCAAGATTTTCTTCAGGCAGAAGCGGCAGCTGGCAGCATTATTACGGGGGTCCCACATAAAGAACCCAGTGCCCACCCCAATAATGTATGTAGGCCGAAAGAGAAAGAAGGTTGACTCAAGACCTTTGGTTGATTAGAGAGTGAGAGACATGCGGTTCGTGTGTACATAGAGGGAACAGAGTGCTGAGCTCTTCTCGCATTGAAAATCGAAGGCACGTACCGCAGGAGGGGAGGGTAGAGAGGGGCCCTTCTGTGTGACCACGGGTTGGAATGAACGGCACTAGTGCTGTGAGCGCTGATATTAAGTAAAGACAAAAAAGTAAAAATATCCAAAAAATATAATAAATGGCGGCACACCCATCCAATCTCAACGGCGTACCTTTATCACGTTCCAGAGTTCGGTGTATCGTCTATGACCCAAAAAAAACGAAGTCTACAGCATGCACATATGAATAGACAGACACAAATTTCGTCCAATCGATGCAGGCAATAACCAATACCCATGTGCTGCAGGAAGAGAACGGTGAATAGGAAGCACAAACACGGACCCGAACGGGAGGAACAGAAATAGCAACAACGCCAAGTGTTTGCGAAAATATAAATGTTTTTAGACTTAGCCCCCGGTGTTTGCCATCGGGGTTGGGTTATCGTCGCTTGGCAACGACGTCGTAAAACAAGCCGCCCCCCCCTGTAGAGCCTGGTCCGGTGAGAACCCGGAGTGCTCCGTCCCGGCCTTGTAGGGATGCGAGGTCAATGGTCTAACGACTACGGTATGCACGACTATGAGTACACCCCCCCCCCCCCCGGTGTTTGCCATCGGGGTTGGGTTTTCGTCCCTTGGCAGCGATGTTGCAAAACATACGGATCACTTCATGAGCTCGGCAACCAGGCTACCGCTTTTTTTTGCCATTTTTTTTTTTTTTGCGTAACCATGATTGGTGGTCGAGTAGAGTATGTTGTGCGGGGTCGAGAACCGTCCTTCCGCGCAAAGGGGATAATCGCACCACGTTGTGTTAAAGAGCCCGGAGAAATACCCTCTGAACCGGAACAAAAAAAAACGTGAAACCGCAAAAAAAAATGCGTTATTGGGGCGGGGACATATAAGGGCTGAAAGCCACGTAGGTTCAAAGGGGTCGTCCTGTATACAGCCAGGCACAGCCCCTACAGCCGCGACAAGGAACACATTGCCCACCCACTAGCACAGTAACACTACAGCTGGAAGGGCAGCAGATCCCCGAAGCCAAACGGGCCCGCAGGTCCGCGGACCCGAGCTAGAGGCAGTGGTGAAAAGTCCCATGTGCTGCGGGGAACCAACAGCAGGCTCAGCACAGCAGCGGCATAGGTGGGGTTCGAGGAGGTTCCCGCGACAGCAGCAGCGACTGCGTCGCGTTCGATGGACAAAAAGCCTCACGGTGCTACGGGAGGGGACGACTAGGACGCGCCCTTCGAAGACCCGGAGGATGCCGTGGGTTTTGGAGCTCGGAGGTTGCTGCAACAGCTGCCAACGAAAATGTACTGCACAGCAGGTGAGCTCTTTCTCCGCATCCGGAGATACGGCATACGCGTGCTGCAGTAACACAGGAGTGTAGATCGCTGAGTGGAATGCAGCAGCCTTGGGATGCAGTACAAGGATTGGGTTGTGGACGGCCGAACACGAAGTGTAGAATAGACAGTCTAACCAAAAATGACAGCTACGCTCATGTTTGTCACCCCCCCGGTTTTTGTTAAGAAAAATATAATGCGGAAAGAGGTTCTAAAAGGCCATTTCTTGCGGTTCTTTTTCGCAGATCTTTTTTTCCCCCTTTCGGACAACCCAGAAAGGGATCTACGAAAAAGATGACCCCCTTCTTACGGTGTTGGTCGATCCTTTTTCACCGACCAAAAAAAAACAGACTCTGCAACGGCTGCTGTCACACATACATGGACCTTCCCACCGAATGGTTTTTCGGTGATATCTCCTCACAGAGTGAAGCAGCGCCCACTGTAAAGCTATCCCTCGCGAGCTGTGTGTATGGTCCGTCTTGGGTGGCGGCTTACAGAGACCACAAGGCGATAGGAGGCACGGGAATGGAGGTGCCGAGAGTCGACAGCACGCTGCAAAAATGCCCACCGCGCCAGCAACCATTTTTTTTTGCTCTTGTGCCCCTGTCAAAACTTTGGTTTACCGGTACTCCCTCGCCACCCACGCTAGCAACAGCGATGACAAAGGTATGCGCCACGAGCTGTGTGTATGGTCCGTCTTGTGTGGTGGCTGATACAGACCAGGAGGCTATAGGACGCTCAGAAATTGTGAGCGCGAGAGTGGTGGACAAGCGGAAAAAATGCCCACCGCGCCAGCAACCATTTGCTCTTGTGCCCCTGTCAAAACTTTGGTTTACCGGTACTCCCTCGCCACCCACTCAAGCAACAGCGATGATAAAGGCATGCGCCACGAGCTGTGCGTATGGTTCGTCTTGTGTGATGATTGACACAGACCAGGAGGCTATAGGACGCCCAAAAGTTGGGTTCGCAAGGTTGACAGTACACGAAAAATGACCCGCCGCTGCTGCGTCCAGGCCCTCTCGGTTTGTTTGCCTTTTGTTTGCCGCACACATCGGGTTGTCCACGTGGTCCAGCCCACTGAAAAAACATTGGCTACCGACGGTGCCACGGACTCTGTACCCCAGCAACATGACACACCTCGTGTGACCGCCGTTAGAGTTTGCGGTGGGCCGTCGAGAGATTCAAGTTTCTAGGAACGAGTGATGTGGTTGTGACCAAAAAAAGACAACAGTTTTGGACAGCCTCCACTTGTCCAAAACTGCCCCCAAAAAGACAGGATGGGCTGTCCAAAACGGGTTGTCTTTTTCAGGCGATCTTTTTTTGAGGAAAAAAGACATTGTAAGAAGACCTTCTACGGCCAGTTGTCCTTTTTTGAGAAGGAAAAAATAAAAATATCATAAAAAAAGACAACCGCAAGAAATGGCCTAACACATGCAGCTTTCGACACAAAGGAAAAACTACACCAATGGAGCCCGCGTCTAGACTATGGATACGAGCCATTTGGTGAGCGCTTGCGACCTTCGGACATTTGCGGAATTTTGCTCGACGCGGCAATATTTATCATCACGGTCAGCACAGAACTTGAGTGTATGACGTCTGTATAGTACGCGGCCCATCGCGCTTGCTTACAGCAAGCAACAAGATAGTTTACGATCTGTACTTGCAAGACTCTCCTCCTCTTCTTGCGTTCGCACTGTTCACACAAGACCCTTGGCTAAAGCTCGACAGTCAACATTATTTGTTGACCCATTTCAGGTTTCTAGCACCTCACGGCTCTTTTGAAACGTCAAACGAAGGATTGTGGCAATCGGTTCCACAGAGTTTTCTCTTCACGTTTTTTTTTTCAACTCTCCCATACAGGAAACTTGAGTGTATGACGTCTGTACAGCAGTCAGTATGAACATATATACACTGCTGTAGGAATACGCTCGAATACTCCGGAGTATTGACTTCCGTTGTCATTGCAGCTCATGATACACGCAGTAATGATTCGGGCGGGTAGGGGATCCTTTTGATTCGAAGGATCAGCGTACGTACATATTGTTCTCCAAAAGGCTGCTGTACAAGTAGACTAGTAGTTTGTTTACTGCCGAAAGTGCCGACGGAATCTGGTGCGAAGACGCCCCTCATCACCATAGGACGTAACTCATGACCGCCCCATAACGCACGCACACATACAATCATGGCATTTAGAAGAGTTCCGTGCTTTCAACCGCGCTTAGACTGATGTAAAGTCATTGGTCTGGAGGTTAGCGCGGTCGATGCTAAAAATAAACGCACACACACCAAAACAAGGTCCCACAGACCCCGGACGAACGCGAAAACAATACACAGCAGCACCAATAAATACGCGGCCCATCGAAAGGCGCTTGCTTACATCAGCAATGGTTTGCGATCTGTACTTGCACGAAGACCCTCCTCCCCTTGTTGTGTTCGCACTGTACGCACAAGACCCCTGGCTAAAGCTCAACAGACAACATTATTTCTTGACCCATTTCAGGTTTCTAGCACCTCACGGCTCTTTTGAAACGTCGAACGAAGGATTGTGGCCATCGGTTTCACCGATTTTTCTCTTTGACAACCTGGTCACTCCACGTTTTTTTTTCCCAACTCTTCCATACAGGAAACCAGCGACCGGCGCATGGATTAAGACGAAGACCTGCACAATAGCCTGTTCGACCCCAGTTGGAAAGGACCGTACCGTGTTGGAATACTCAATGTCAGTCATACGTATTGGTACTGCTGTAACACAGCACGTAGGTATGCACCTGAGGTGTATTACCGGAATAGTCTTCGATAAAGTATAAACACCTACGGGTTATATGTTGAACCACAGGAGTATGGTACATCGGACCATTGTCGGGTAGGATATTCTTGGATTGGTTCTATAGGTCGGATTAACCGACTGTTACCGTGACCGGTACGTTGCAATAGCCCGTACGTGTACATCTTTTCGTGATAGCTTGGAGGCTCGCCCCCTGTGGTGCTCGCCCCCTCTCGATCACTTTCCGTCCTTTCTCTCTTCTTCCAAGGCCCTTGGCCTCTTCCAAGTCCTTCGGGACTCTTGCGAGTCCCAGGACTCCTCTTTTTTTCCTTACCTTTCGGCCACTTAAGCGCCAATTCAAACCATCAATCTGGTCTACAACACAAGCGTAGTTTACAGTCACTCTGTGAGCCTCTGCGCACTGTGCCACATCCAGGGATACACCTATCATAAGGTTACATCCCAACAGGTTAGAGCCTCGAGCTCTACATCCCAACATACCCAACCAGACATTCTGCTTGCCATGCACATGCACGTGTTGTCCATTGTGGTGGGGGCGAATGGGTTAGAGGGCGTCATGGAGGTGTTGGGGGCGGGGCGTGTTTCTGTCGGCCCGTTACCGTTGATACCTCTGTGCAGCGTGGCATCACAACGGTGTGTTATGTTCCTCCTCGATTGTATGTTCTGCTCTTCGGGGTCAGATGGTCTCTACTTTGTTTTTGGTCCTACTTTCGTACATCCTAGGTAGGAGGGGGTTGGAGTTGGAGGATAACCTCACGGCCTTGAAAGTATTACTCCCGAGGAGCCGGCTTCTTGTGCTTGAACATATCCGTACCGTTTTTTGTATTGTCACACCCCAACATAGGCGGTGTCGCTCTGTCTTCATAGCGATTTTTTGTTTTGGTGGATGGGGTGGGTACGTTGCATTCATATCAGGCACGATCGGAAAAGCGTCTCTTTTTCGATCGGTCGCTTCTCGAGGGGTCCCGGCGCAGCAACAATTGTTTCTGATCGCCAAAAAATCATGAAACACGAATTTGAATCTGTTGTTTTTCATTTATTCATTAGTCCGCGGATGCAGTCGAAATAGAGGGTGGTTCAGTCCTCCAGGTGTGTACGCTTGATACCCGGGGTGCCTCCTCTAAACAGTTGGGGAGATAGTGGGCGGGGATAAACAGCATGAGTACTTGGTGCATGATTTCCACCCGACGAACCTAAGACCGTCGGGCTCACACCCAGCCTGGTTGAGAGGCTGTAACAGGCATCACCAAACTCGAATGAAAATCCAAAGTGCTCCATCGAACTACATACCCGCCGACAAGTAGCCGAGGCTAAGTGAGGTAGGGTCCTCTTTTCCACGGCAAGGTGCCGAAAAAATGCATACATTCCTGAAAATCGTTGGAACACGACGAACGTGCCCTTGTCCTACGTCGCAAAACCCAGAATCGTGTTTATTTCAGACTCGGACCTCCACTTCCAACCTTGGCGCACGTCCAACAGTCCCTCCATACAAAACGACCCGCTCCGAGGATCGTCCTCACACCCGAAAAAGGCGAGTCGGAGCCTACGAGAACCCCTTGACCGCCTCGCTTGCCTGTTTGCGATGGAGACGAAAACAAGGACGGAGTCAGGAAGTGCATTTAGGGTACGGTCACAACCATATACAACTAGATGTATGCACAAGGACTGGCATGAAGAAGACTATCATGACCAAAATGTCTAGCGGTGTTCATACAGTAGCAATCCACGGCGGAGCGTCTAGCGTCCTGCTAGTATTTCACAATGTCATGGAGTAGAGCGGAGCAATTGCACGAGGAGGTAGATTTCAAGCTTCGCGGAGTGGAGTAGAACGGTCGGTACGTCGTTCAGTATATTTTCACTGAGTGATTTTTTAAACCAGTGGATGAACCGCGAGAACCCGGGGCCTTGGCGACGGTGCACCATCAGACGGTGTAAAAGTCATACAGAAACTGACGGAGTTTGTAACTGTGTGTCGTGAAACATTTTGTTGTAGTTCATACATCGAAAACATCGGATCTTGGGCACGGTTCAGTTGGGGGCAAACGCTCATGAAACGAACCTTTTTTTTGAGTATGTCACGGAGCAATTGTTATCATTTGGAAAGGTCACGGGGCGTAGTAATGGTAAACCTCCAACTCCAATAAAAAATCGCTCCGTGAACACCCATTCCTGCAAATTTCATGCTAGTGAACACGAAAATGACAAGGCCGCGGAACACGGCAGGATCATCATCTCCCGCACCGTAATTTCCACCACTGCTCGGCGTCCCTCCTTCCGCCCCTTCCTGTCGCGCCAACCGCACGGTCCACCGGGCGAGGGCAAGTGGTCTGTCGGTCCACCAACACTCCTCCGGCTGTTCCTTCTCTCGTACCAGAGAGGTCACTGCGGTGCCCGTTGAGATCAGTCCGCCCCCAGTTGACCTCCGCTCTGGCAAGGGTACGCCCGAAACGTAACGCTAAGCCTACCGCCGCCTTGCCTCCAGGGGGGAACTGGGGCTGTCCAAAGACTCTATCCTCAAGTGGCGTTGGCACTTCGTGCCGCCGCGCAGGTGGGGCGTTTGGTTCATGGATATTCCAACCCAGCTCCAGCACAAGTGCAACGCAAACCATTTGGAGCCAATAACCGCCGTTAAACTGCTTGTCGTGGGCACCTGCAAGAGCAATTAAGCATAACAGGAAATTATTGAGGAAGATCGAGACCTAGTCCTGCTGCTTGCTCATGAAAACAGTCCGCGCGAAGGGCGTGCGTGCGCCCACACACCGGGGGTTTACATTTCAATAATATTTTTCGTTGTTTCGTGTAGTAATAACGTCGTTGGTTGTTCTCCGACGTCGTAGAGCAGCGATCTACCGCATAAGGCACAAACTATTGTACACCGGATGAGCCGCGAAAGATTGCTTTTTTCCATACTAAATCCCTATAAATAAGGACATATCAGCACTAGCACAGAAAACGCAGTAACTGGCCTTTTTGACTTTGAGTCTTTCCACACTATGTCATATGAAAGATATTTGTCTGGGGAATCGTTTGAGCTATCTTGGGCCTAAAGTGAAGATTTGGCGGTTACAAAAACGCCCACATAGGTACACTTACCGCGTACTGCTGTACAGGGATTTTGGTACAACAAAGAACTTTTGCATTATCAGTTATTTCGACTCGAAACTTGGTGAATACCCAGAGCATAGCTAGTAGGATCATATGCTACCGAATTCCTAGTGCTGTGCTCGACCTATCGATACCTAGGTGTGTGGGTGTTCCTTCCCATGACGGCCCCGTTTGGTGCCGCAACGGAGCCCCCTGTTCACCGTCGCATACGTATAGCTAGCAATACGTATCTGAGAATCCGACGCATCCAAACGACTCTCCAGTACATGGGCTGCTTTTAAATACCCTCACGAACGACTAACGCTCTCTATAACATAAGCTAGGACGAGAGCGTCGTCCTGTGCTGCTGCTGTGGTCCGCCCAAACGTACATTCGGCATGACCCAATCTTGCAACCAGCACCGATTTCCGCGAATCTGGTTGCAGCTGAGCTACCGCAGTCGGCGGTCAGCAGTGCTGTGAGTGTAGAGAACAGGAACCACCTGCGGTTTCATCCAGCGCCTTGTCCTCGTCTCGCAGTGGTCCACCAAAGTAGCGGGTGCTGGTCTCTGAAGGGCCTGTTTGTGGGACCAAAAGGGGGTTTCCGGCCGTTCTGAAGGCTATATATTTGTTTTTTCCGAAACGGAACCTGCTGTTCTTCAATCCCTTAAACAGGTCAAGCACACTCGAGGCAGTTACACCGTGCTTACAACATGCGTACACCCCCCCACCCCCCACCCCGAACGCGATACAAAATACTTACAAAATCAGACCAAGCCCGTCGCCCCGGTGGTCTAGTTGGTAGCCTCGTAACCTTCTAGAGTTCAGGTCAGGGGTTCGAATCCCTGCGTAGGCGAGCTTTTCTTGCAAAGTGAGTTTTTCTCTCGCTTCCGCTCCTGGCCGAGTGGATAGCGCTAGTTCGTGTGTACACAGAGGGAAGAGAGTGCTGAACTCTTCTCGCATTAAAAAAAAAAATTGAAGGCGAAGTACCGCAGGAGGGGAGGGTGGAGAGAGGCTCTTCTGTGTGACCACGGGTTGGAATAAACGGCAGTAGTGCTGTGAGCGCTGATTTGAAGTGAAGAAGAAAAAAAAAGAAAAAAAATACTAGTTCCCATGTATGAAGGGGCACCGCGTCTGGGTGCCCCTTGTCGTGTACACTCGTCCGCGCTGGCAGGGTTTGTACGATGTAGGGCGTACCACACCTAAGCGGCGAGAGGGAGAGCATGATCAGCACACCCTCAGGGAGTGTCATATGACTAGCCCAGGCTGTTGGAGTGCAAGACTACAGCCAAACATGCCCTTGGCGCGCAGCAAAGACAGGGGGGGAGCGGGGTAGGGGTCGGGGTACGGGAGAGAAGACGAGGAAGAAGGGGAGAGGACGGGGAGAAGGAGAAGGAAGAAGAGCGGCCGCTCGTACGCTCTACTCGTCCTTAACTGACACCCCGAAACGGCGTCCGTTCTTGCTTAGCGTATTTTTGTCCCTGCGAATGGTAGGCGAGTGGTAGGCGAACGGAATACCTCCAGCTGTACTTGCGAACTCCTACATGACATACGAACGGCTGTTTCCGTCGAGCTTTGTGATGTTTTTTTCGTTCACGCGTGTAGAGGCGTGAGGCTATTCCGTGCGTCGAGAGTCACTAAAAATTGATTCGACGATGTCGTGTGAATGATGTGCGTGGTGGTTTCTCCAACAACACGTTAACGCAGGCATGTAGGGCGCCTTTTAGTGTCAATCTTCGTTTAATCTGATCTGTGTTCGTTCGAAGGTTAATCAGGCTTGCCTTGCACCATTGAATGCATACGATGAACTTAAAAAACACAACTAGGGAATGGAAGTTTTTTTGAAACCTTGGGCCCTCTCGGGGGGGGTGGGGGGGGCTGGGCGTGCGATATAGCCTTGTCGCAGAGTGAATGACTCAATCCATTTTCTGGTGCTTACACTTCCAGACGCAGTTATATGCACTACCGTGTATCTGCCTCGAGGGTACTAACCATTTCAACATATCGTGGTGCGATCATCCCCTTTTCGTGGAGTGAGCGTTGTCGACCCTATACAACATAACTCTACTCAACCACTATCAGGGTTAACGCGAAACAATACCAATAAGAAATATGTATAGTTAACGCGGTGGCCGAGCTCACGAAGCGATCGGCTCGTTAAACAACGTCGTTGCCAAGCGACGAAATCTCAACCCCAAAGTACATTAGCGTGTGGCCACCCGGCTTCCAAGTAGGGTACTTGTTTCTTCCACAAACTGGGAGGGAACACACGATGAACATATTGATCAGCGTAGCAATGCGCAAGTTGTCACACTTACCCTTGATTGGCTTTCCGTAGTGTGCATACCGGCGCCCCCTCCAGAGCAAACAAATTATGCCACGTCTTCGTCGAGGAGTTCGAAGTTCGAATGGGTCGACCAATGGATCCCCTTGGCGAGGATCTCGGTTATGCATGTTCCTTCGTCTCCGAAATGAACGTCTGGCATGGTACTTTCACCAGTATTCGCACCTGTCGAACGACTTTCTCCTCCGTTGTCCCAGAACCCCTTTGGAGGCTGTCAGGGCGAATTGCGAGTACTTCACCCTTTTGAGACACCCCATCGATCGCCTGGTCTCGGCCTTTTTCTACTGCCCATCGGACCATGATCGCCAGCTGAGGCCTTTGAAGGTGGGTGTGTAGAACGTCCCATCGAAATGGCGACTCCGCCGAACCTGATAGATGAAAATATCTCTACACTGGCGACCAGTTGTTGGTTTCATCCGGTGTGATGTGACGGTATTTGCCAGTTTTTGGTTGTAACGGATACCTCTCTTTAGCGCAACTAACACTAAAGCATGGTAGCTACGCACGTCTGTATTTCCCAGTTTTGCGGGCACGCCGACCACCCGGTACCCGCGACCGAGCGCCTGTTGGAGTTCGCCCAGATCTACTGGCAGAATATGGCCTTCAAGCAGATGACGTTCGGGATATACTGCTTTCCTGATCTCATCTGCCAACCGACGCGGGTGAGAATTACCTGGTAACCTCGGACACGTGTTGTGGTTGGCTCTGTGGACTAACCCTAAATGGTGTTTCCTTGGCGAGGGTTGGTTAGTTGAACGGGAGACATGGTCTAACACCAACACAAGCATTGTACACTGCGGTATAATTTTTTTCGGGTCTGTCGTTCAGTCAGTTTAATCCAGTCACAAACCGTTTTGGTTCTCGGACCGGATACAGGATTGGAAATCTGTTCTACCCGCATCGGGGTTGTGTACAGGGAACTCGAGGCGTCCCGAGAGTCCACCAATCGCCAGCGTTCGTTTTGGCGGAGAGCTTATCGCTGTGGGCGTCGTATGCTGTGTTTTGGTGCCGCTCTGAAAATGGTTGATTGCGCCATGTAACACCAAGAACACGATGCTCCGATCTGCCGAATCCTCACCCCGAGCAATCTCTCACACTACTGACTGTTTTGCTAAACCGTCCATATGACAGCAGTGGGTCACCCATAGTCCGCCCTGGGCACTTCAAGCCAGAACCTCGCCACCGGCATATCAACCTACAGTAGAACTTAGCCAACTGCACATTAACATTGAACTTAGCCACCAGCGCCAACCTAGCACGTATTGTGTGGGCTTGGGGTTAGGGTTACGGTTAGCGTTAGGGTTGTTAGACGCTAACTGCCCGTTCCAAAGCAGAAAAAAATGTTGTTTTGGAAAGCACTGGTTCGGTTCAAGGGCTGTTATTAGCCGCCCATGGGCCGCTCACGGACTACACATGGGTCACCCATGGGTGTTACATAGGTCATTTCGGACAACCGTAGCAAGTGTGGGAGACCCACCCCGAGCGATATTGCGATACGGTGCCACCGATTACCATTAACCACAGTCGGGTACAATGGCAAAAGCACGTGAGATTGCTTACAGTGAGAACAGTCCATACAGTGGCACGCGCACCCGGTGGATGTTTCAGACGACCAAAAAAACTATTCACGTAGTACATGGCATATATGTACACACTTGGGTTTGGCCTCCCGCCCCCCATTGGGGCGGGCGGCCAACATCCAGGACGGATCGCGATGAGGTTTTGGGAGGAAGTTAGGAATATGAATATGGACGAGTACTGTAGCGGTGGCAAGAAGGGACGGTGTGTATCAGTATGGAGATAGATGCATTGAAGACGTGAAGACGTTCACGAAGAGCCCATGGTACTACCGAAAGAAGCGTATCTCGTGTGCACCTACCTATCAACTATCATGCTATCATGCCATGTATATACTTACAGTAAGGTCGACGTATCGTGACACATTTCTTATTTTTCGTATATGTATCGGGTTTGTCTTCACTTCAAATCAGCGCTCACAGCACATACTTGTGCCGTTTACTCCAAACCGTGGTCACACAGAAGGGCTCCTCTCTACGCACAACCGAACATACAAATGGATAACGTAAGGAGCTCTGAACAACGCTATGCACATGCGCCCGCGCAAAAATAGGGGGAAAACAAACAACCAGCCCGGCCTTGAACCCGGGGCGAATCACAGCTGCGCATGCCGTCCAAACACCTGCTCCATAATGAGGACTCTACTGCAGCGGGAAGAATCACTTACATAAAGTGATAAAACTGAAGAAGACTGTAAGGAAGGGCGGGTGCGCAGAGGAGCGCACCCCACATAACTACAGTGTAGTCCTTACGAACCGAGCGAAGGGATAAAAAATTATGTAATCATCATGCGGCGCACACCACGCCGACACGCGGTATTTGTTTCACGTCCATTTCGCGTTTAGACTACTGGTCCCGGTATTGTTCAGGTTAAATAGTGCAGGTGCCCGGTATGGTGCAGGTAAATTCTCTGGACACAGACAGTGCCCTCAATAGTGCAGGTCCTGCACTACTGAGGGCACTCCCGCTACAGTGCAGGTTTGGCACCGCGGTGCCCCGCAATAGTGCAGGTTGGACACACACACACACACACCCTACACACACATGGACAGACGCAACACAGCAGTACACGTGCTGCCGCAGACCCGAAGAGCTCTACGCAGAGGCGCACCATGCCTTGTGCGGACGGTGAACTGTGCCATCAACCAGACAGAACGCCGCAAGCCCCTCATGGCCACGTCTGCAAGGGAGGATGTGGCGGGCGGCTCCACGGCAATTGCGGCAGCGTTTTTCACGACGACGACAATCACCGCATCTGGAGCACGTGCGTCGCGAAGGCTAGCATGCCCAAAGCGACAAGCGACGGTGGCGACGAGAACACGGGGCGCGAGCGCCGTGCTCCACCGCCTTATGATGAGCTGTCGTCTCACTTCGGCGTCCTGGAAGTGGCGGCAGAGGAGAGTGGCAACGGAGAGGCGGCGTTCTACCTAACGAAAGCAAAATGGCGATGATCGCAGCGCATTACGCTAAGCGGGCGCACCAGGCAGACATGGGAGAGTTTGCCGAGACGTAGTGAGGGCGGGGGGTACATGGTTGTTTTGTTTTTCTTGCTGTGCGCTTCCTGTCGTGCTTGTCTTGGTTTATTTTGTGTTTTTTTTCTTGCAGTATCGAAGCGGGTGCGCCAGGCAGGCATGAGAGAGTTTGGTCACCACGTGGTGATGGAGGGTACAGCTGTTAGTACATGGTTGTTTGTCTGTCGTCGTGTTTATTTTCCTGTTTTTGGTGTTTCTATGCATCTGGCAACATCGAAGGAAGGCAACGAGGAAGGAGAAAGGCATCGAGGAATGATATTTTAGCTTCGTCCACTACATATTAATATGCTAAAAACAATTTCGATCGATTTTGTGCTCTGTTAGCCCCGCAAAGCGAGAACGCCACACCATGAAGTCAAAGAGTGCCTCAGTAGTGCCAAACCTGCACTATTGAGGTATTTCCAAAGCCTCAGTAGTGCAGGACCTGCGCTATTGAGGCACTCTTATGAGTAGTGCAGGTGCCCGGTATAGTGCAGGTAAAATTCCTGGACACACCCCTGCACTATACCGGGACCAGTACTGTAAACAATACACGGTCATTCTGACGCGCACAAATTCCGAAGCCCAAAATAAGGTGATGTGAGGCGGGTCCAGTCGCCGGTCTCCTGAAGGCGCCCAGCTCAAAACAGT